TTTTTTTTATAAATTTTTCGTATATGTTTTTTTATCGGTTAAAAAAATTATAATGGTTTAATCACTATAGAAAATAAAGTACAGTCCCTTAATTAAGAAGAAATGTTTTATAATAACAAACCTGAACACAACGTGATATAATATCTGCAAAATGTGATAATGATTTTGGTGGATATTGACCATTAAGAGAAGGGTCAACCATTCTTGACAATGCATCAATATCATGAAGTTGACCTACTGCCCATCTCACCAACAACTGCTCCCCACGATGTCGTGCACTATAAACAGTTTTTTTTTTTAAATTAGTACATGAAATAGCAACGTACTTTCATGTTTTTGTTTATTATATTTATAGCATTTTTACTATAACACATCAAATAAATGAAAGTATGATGCTATTACAACATTGCACTTACAATTTTTTTTTACTATAAAACATCAAATAAGGGTTATTCTCATAAAAGACCTTATATTTTGTGTTTTTTCTGAATTAAACAACAATTTTATTTTTTTGCCTGAAAAAGACCTTGTATTTTTTCATTTTTCTGATTTGGCCCTTTTAGTCAACTTTCTCCAAAAAAAAAATTGTAAACTGTGAGGATTTTTCGAGAAAAACTAAAAAAGTTGTGGGTTTATTTGGAAGCAGTTAGAAGGCTAAGGTTTTTTTTTTTTTTCTCAGAAAAAATGAAAAACTACAAGGTCTTTTTCAGGCAAAAAATTAAAATTGAGGTTTAATTCAGAAAAAACACAAAATATAAGGTCTTTTATGAGTTATAACATGGAAAAATTGCTTTGTATTTGGTAGAATTTTATAAATCCAATATTGTAATAATAAGAAACAAAAGTAGGATGCTATAAATTATAATAAATAATTAAATACAACATTTAACATAATTATATTATCTACCTGTCATAAGATTTTCTGCCTGTTAAAAGTTCTAACATCACCACCCCAAAACTGTACACATCACTCATAGATGTATAGATTCCTAACTCGAATTCAGGGGCACCATAACTGAAGGCTGACTGAATGTTTCCTGACAACTGTAAGTGGATAAAAACATAATTTTTTTATTTATATTATTATTATTATAATTAAAATATTAACTATTATTACCTGATTAACTGAGCCTGGGGTTATTAAAGGAGCCAAACCACAATCAGAGACACGTACAGAAAGATCATCATCTAGAAGAACATTGGCTGACTTGAAGTTTCTATGAATGACAGGTGGATCACAGAATTCGTGTAGATACCTAAACCATTATTTAAAAATAAAAATTATTTTTTCTAGATAAATAAATACATAAGACTGAAGTAATCTAGAAAACTTTTTATCTAGTTGTCAACTTTCAACCATACATACTATGTGGTATTTGCTTTCACTGTTTTATGAATTTAGCCACTTGATTATTAAAAAACACCCTTTATCCTGGTTTCTAATTTTGATAAAAGGTAAAATATAATCGCCATTTTTAGAGTTAATCTCAAAAAAGACGTTATATGTTGTGCTTTTTTCCGGATTAAACCTCGGAATTTATTTTTTTTGCCTGAAAAAGACCTTGTATTTTTTCCGATCTGGCCCTTTTAGTCTTTTTTTTTTTCCAAAAACAATTGTCAAATGTGAGGGTTTTTTTGAGAAAAACTGAAAAAGTTGAGGGTTTTTTCGGAAAAAAGTACAAAGTTGAGGGCTTTTCCGGAAAAAATGAAAAAATAAAAGTTAAAAAATAAATTTGAGGTTTAATCTAGAAAAAACATAAAATATAACGTCTTTTTGGAGATTAAACCCCATTTTTATTGATTTAGCTGCCGAACTGTTTTTTTATTTTATGATTATTATGATAATAGTTTTAGGGCTAAATCGAAAAGAAATAATAATAATAATAAACAAAAAATAGTTCAATGAGTAAACCAACGAAATGGTGAAAATATGTTATTGGGAAAAATTGTTCTTTTATAAGGTCAAAAAAAAGTGTAATGTTTTTAATCAATAAAAAAATATGGAAGTGTCTAAATCCAGAAAACGGTGAATGTACGTTTTCACCCCCCAAAATATTAACACATATAAAATACATATGTATTCATTGTTCAATGAATCACTATATAAAATAATAAACAGTCAAGCAGCTAAACTGATAAAAAATGATGAAATTGTTAAAACTGTGTGTTTGACTTACTCTAAGGCTCTTGCAGCTCCAAGTGCCATTCGAATGCGTGTTTTCCATGAAAATTTTCTTTTGTAATCATCATCAGAGTGTAGAGCATCTTGAAGGGTCCCACTACTACAATATTCATAAATTAATAGCCTTTGACCATGCTCTGAACAATAACCCATCAGTTCAACAACATTTGCATGACGAATTTTGTCAATATTATTAACAAGCTCAATGAAATCCTCCTCTTTTTGCTGATTGATAACCTTTTTGTCCAATTTCTTCACAGCAAGAAACTAAATAATAAACATTTTCAAAAGTACATAAGATGTTGAGATTTTAGAAGATAGGGTTAAATGTATGAAATAGTAATGTAGTTTTGTATCTTTTTATTACAAGATTTGTAGTTTCAAAAAAAATACCTAATCATAAGTTCATTACAACTTTATACAACCACAAAAAAAAGGAAGACTAGATTTGAGTTGAAGTATGATATGCTATAAAAGTGATTTTTTAAACAAATAGTTCTCATTTGTAATGAGAAATAGGCAATACACATCTTGAAACTTTCTATAAAGGGTTAAATGTGGGGTTAATCTCATAAAAGACTTTATATTTTGTGTTTTTTTCTGGATTAAACCTCAAATTTATTTTTTCGCCTGATAAAGACCTTGTAGTTTTTCATTTTTTCTGAAAAAGCCCTCAACTTTGTATCTTTTTTTTCCGAAAAAAACCCTAAACCTTCTAAATGCTTCCAAATAAACCCTTGAACTTTTTTATTTTTCTCAAAAAAACCCTCACATTTTACAATTTTTTTTGTAAAAAAAATGACTAAAAGGGCCAGATCGGGAATAAATGAAAAAGTACAAGGTCTTTTTCAGTCAAAAAATAAATTTCGAGGTATAATCCTGAAAAACACACGCACACACACACACACACATCAAAATATAAGGTCTTTTATGAGATTAACCCTTGAATGCACATTTAACAAAGTTTCGAATTTCCTTCCCCAATTTATGCAACAAAATGACTTTTTAAACAAAATATTTCATTTTAGGACCAAAAGATGTAAATATTTTACCAATTGAAACACAGTTGCATAATTCATGTCAGTTTTATAAGTTTGTAAAACAAAAAACATTTTTGCATAAACTGGTAAAAACTAAAAGGAAAAGTGAAACATTGTTGCATAAATAAGTATATATATGGAATAAAACACTGCATATTCTGTATAAAAAACTACTTTATTGCATATTAATGATTGAATATATTATATACATGTAAAATGTAGAATTCATACCTTTCCATCAGGAAGCTGTGCCCTATAAACACTCCCCAACATTCCTCCACCAATAAGATTATCCTGAGAAAAACTGTTTGTGTATTGCTGAAGAGATGCAATTGTATAAGATCTCACATACGTCTGAGGCACAACAGGTTTGGTGGAAGTTCTTGCTGATGTGGCGGCAGAGGCGGCGGCAGCCACCGCTATAGGCTCCACAATAACCTTCTCGAAAGGTAGATGAATTGGTTCTGATGATGAAACTGGTGGTGGTGGAGGAGGTGGTGGTGGTGGTGGTGGAGGTGGAGGTGGTGGTCGCATGGAATCTATATCAAATCTGGTGAAATCTATCTCCTGACTGTCTTGCTTTGGTAAGGCGGTGAATCTTTGCATTGGAACTGTTCTTCGTGGTGGTGGTGGTGGTGGTGGTGGTGAAAGCAGTTGTTGTTGCTCCTCCTTTGGTGGTGGAATTGCCGCCTTCTTTGGGGGGTGCTGAAAGAACAAGTGAGAATAATATTATTAAAGGTTAAATTTCAAGAATTAGTAACATACTTCCATTTCTTCATATCAGAAAAGTGATTATTGGGAAACTTTTAAATTATAATGTCTTAATATGAAAAAAAGAAAAATGAAAGTACAATGTCATGATAGAAAAAAGTAGAGTATGATGCTATAATACAATGATAAATAAAACTAAATTGCTATTTCTTGAATTTAGCTATATTATTAACAAACAACAGCAATGTACTTTTATTGCTTTCTTTTTTATTGCATCCTACTTTCATTTCTTCCTATCACAACATTATCTAAATACTGAGCAAATTTCACTTTTATAAAGGGTTAATCTCATCAAAAGACCTTATATTTTGTGTTTTTTATGGATTAAACCTCAAACTTTTGTCTTTTTTTCCGAAAAAACCCATCAACCTTGTAATTGCTTCCAAATAAACCCTCAACTGTTTGGGTTAATCTTAAAAAAGAGCTTATTATGTGTTTTTTTTTTCCGGATTAAACCTCAAATTTATTTTTTGCCTAAAAAAGACCTTGTATTTTTTTATTTTTTCCGAAAAAACCCTCAACTTTGTATTTTTTTTTTCCAAATAAACCCTCAACCTTTTTAGTTTTTCTCGAAAAAACCCTCACATTTTACAATTTTTTTGGAAAAAATGACTAAAAGGAGCAGATCGAAAAAAAATTTAAAAATACAATGTCTTTTTCAAGAAAAAAATAAATTTGAGGTTTAATCCGGAAAAAAAAAAAAGCAAAATATAAGGTCTTTTACGAGATTAACCCTTTATAATCCGGTAGACTTTTAAAAGTATAAATGAGAATACAATGCTTTAACAAGAAAAAAAAAACAAAAGCAAAAAGCTATGATAGAAAGAAATGAAAGTATGATGCTATAACATATCTAAAAAAAGTACATTGCTATTTCTCACATTCTTAGTTTCTTACCTTTATCAACCTGATTAGGTGGTTGAGCCAAAGGCCCATTCTCCATATGACTCTCGCGGTTATACGGAGCGATCTCATGTCGCTTGTTCATCAAACCGGGAAGTCGTTTTCTTCTAAAGCAAGGTGGTATAAATAGCAGACAGAGTAATCCCAAAACTATAAAACCAAATATCGATGCAATTGACACCCAAACTTTCTTTTTAGAACTCCATGACTTATTTGTGGAGCTAGATTTCGACCCTTCATTTGACGATGGACCATCCGCTTGTTGTGATGGTGTTTGTTTGCCAGGTGGCGATTGTTTCCCGGGTGTCTGTCGAGGTGACGGGAAAAAAGGCGTTCCGGTGGTGCCTGGGGGCGTGAGTGGGATTGGGGATGTAGGTGGAGATAGTGGAGCTGCACTTGTGGTATTGAATAAGTTCCCGTCTTTTCTGGTATCCAACAGGATTTTTAAGTTAGCAAGTGGAAGTCTGGTTGGGTAAAAACATATTGGGCCTTCTAGGCCCGTTTCTTATGCTAGTGTTGGACATGACTTTTTTGTTTACACGAGCTTTCTAGGGCTATTTTTGTCTTTTTTTAACGATGTAGATGAGGAGGGCGTTTATGTCTTTTGCACTGAGCTTGGCATGCATTGGACTATGATTTGGATTCATGTCAAAACAAAAATCGTAATCTTTTGTCCCTTCCAAAAAGGTGGGACATGGACTCCCTCTCAATCTCTCATCCATGTAAAAGGACAAGAATACCCTTCTCGTCATTATCGTCAAAAACTAGCCCTAGAAAGTTTAAACAGTACAATCGTTACTTGTCTCGTGTAACAAACGCAGCCTTCGGCTGCGTTTGTTACACAAGACAAGGTCGAATGTGACAAGACAAGCTTTCTAGGGCTAATTTTGATAATAATGACGAGAAGGGCATTCTTGTCTTTTTACACGGACGAGAGATCAAGAGGGAGTCCATGTCCCACCTTTTTGGAAGGGACAAAAGATTACGATTTTTGTTTTGACATGAATCCAAATCATAGTCCAATGCATGCCAAGCTCAGTGCAAAAGACATAAACGCCCTCCTCATCTACATCGTTAAAAAAAAAACGACAAAAATAACCCTAGAAAGCTCGTGTAACAAACACAGACACAAAAAAGTCATGTTCAAGACTAGTATATTCAAATGAGCCCAAAGTTTATGAGCATAACTACTTATGCACCTGAAAATAGGAATGGCTAGTAACTTTTCAGGTATAGGTCCATTGAACATGTTATTCTCTACATTCCTGAAAGTATGAAAAAGAACAAATCAATAGAAGATAAAAAAATAAATAAATAAATAAACAAACTAGGGGAAACCTGGTGGATGATATCAATAACCTAATCAATAGTTTTAATGATCACAAAGGATAAAAAGGTAATTTTTACTTAAAAGTTTGCCAATAGCAACTTATTTTCATCCATTGAACATGTTATTCTCTTCATTGTTATAATTGAGAAGCTTACAGATCAGTCAATGGAAGATCTTGTAGAACATCTAGAGTCCCAGAGAGTTGATTGTTCTGCAAATGACTGCCCATGAACATGTCAGCTTTCACTCGTGTAAATAAATGTCATAAAACTTTTGTAATTAATAAAAAATGATTACTCACAAAGTAGTTAGAAAAGATAAATGTTGTAAAGAGGAAGGTAATTCTCCACTCAAATCATTACTAGACAAATCACTACAAAAAAGGAAAATTAAAAAAGGTTATTAGTATTACTCCAAGTTCCAACAACCCCTGAGCTGGCCCACACTGTAAATCAAGTACACAGTGGCCCATGGCCCACTAGTTGCTGACATAAGAGCCTAATCCACATTGGAACTAAAATAATAAAGAGGAAAAAAAGTGATATTTTTAAGATAATGGACCCTACAGATTAACCAAACCCGTAAGGCCTTCAAAGGAATCCGGTATTTCTCCTGATAAATTGTTATCATTTAGAGACCTAAAATGCAAGACACATAACATATTAGTATTATATTAACAACTCCAATAAACATTTAAGCAAATAAAAACATGGGCTAAATGCTATAAATAGCAAAGTACTTTCATTTATTTGTGTATTAAAGCATCTTGCTTTCATTTCTTTCTATAATGTTGTAATATGGAGGGTCAATCTCAAAAATGACCTTATATTTTGTGTTTTTTTTTCTGGATTAAACCTCAAATTTATTTTTTGCCAGAAAAAAACCTTGTATTTTTTTTTCATTCTTTCCAAAAAAGCCCTCAACTTTGTATTGTTTTCCAAAAAAAAACCCAACCTTTTAAATGCTCCCAAATAAACCCTCAACTTTTTTAGTTTTTATCGAGAAAACCATCACATTTTACAATTTTTTTTGGAAAAAAATGACTAAAAGGGCCAGATCGGGAAAAATGAAAAAAAAAAATTGAGGTTTAATCTGGAAAAAAAAAACACAAAATATAAGGTCGTTTTTTAGATTAACCCTAATATGAAAAAATGAAAGTAGGATTCTAAAATAAACAAATAAATGAAAGTATGTTGCTATTTCTTACATTTAACCGAATACACAGTAATAAAAAAAAAATTAATTACAAGGCTGTTAATTGTGTTAGAGAGGTTAGAAAAACCGGAATGCTTCCCGTGAAATTGTTATCTGCAAGAAAACTGCCAAAGGTAAAGACCATCACATGTTTAGCCATCAGAGAAAAAGGTTAAAATAGTCATTTTAATTTTTATGTCAAGTGTTACTTTTTATAAAAAACTTCTTGTTATTTTTTTTATCAAATAAGGAAGGAGCTTCTACAAAAGCATTAAATGCAAATCAGATAGCCCACACTGACTCACCCTAAAAGCATTAAATGCAAATCAGATACACAGTGGCCCACATAACAGTACAACTTAATCCACAATTCCACATTGGAATTGAAACTCCCACACTGCTTAAACCATGCGTGTCAAGAATAATAGGAAAAGTTAAAAACTTACATATTCATAATGGTAACAGGAAATTCAGTTGGAATGGAACCCCCAATATGATTATTGCTCAAATCTCTATAATCAAATAAGACAAGTTATATTAGTCAAACATCAAGAAATCTTTTTTTTTATATATAATTTATTTACACAACAACCCTTTATCCAAACAACATATAAAAAAGAAGTGGGATCTTAGTATATCTTACATGCTTTGAAGTGAAGTAAAAGATCCTAGGCTCTCACCAAGTTCTCCTACTATATTTGCACCAATAACAGTTCTGTAATAATAATAATAATAATAACAACAAAAATATTATAAGAGATAATTAATTAATTAAAAAAAAAGGAGAAAAATGAGTTACATACATTGATAAGATGTTTGTATTAGTAGGGTCACATGCAACACCCTGCCAACCCTCGATACACGGGTCTCCAGCACTAGCTGTCCATCCAGGGAGTAGTGGAGATCCCAATGCAACATACAGTTTATTTATCGCACTGACTGTGTGGATAAAAAAACAATATCAGTATCAATACCAGTAACAGTATCAAACATTTAATTTTTTAACGACAAAAAGATAAAGACGATAAAAAGAAGGACAAAACATCATTGTTCCTTTTATAACTTTATATCAATTCCAAATGGGTATTATCACATAAAGAAAAAAAAAAAAGAAAAAGAGAAGTTGTAAAGACAGGTGGATTTGAAATTTTTCAAGAACTTAAAAGGTAATTATCTTTGCCCTATTCATATGAAAGTAATATGTAAACTTCCACAAACAAGACACAAGGAGTCAATGACTATGAACTACTTATTTCCATGTTTCAAAATGTTAGTTTCAAAAGGTTTTGTCATCCTAATTTTTGAAGTTAAATTGCCAACGGCTTTAAGTGTAAATTTTTATGGAATCTTATTGAACTATTCGTTTTCTTAAGTTATGCAAAATATTAAGGTTATTAAAGATAAAAACGGATTTATAGCTACTTAGAACTTAAATATGAGGTTTTCGATTTTCATCAGTTTCGATCAAGATTAATAGGAAGAAGTCAAGATTGGGTGCACTTCCGTTCATCGGAAATAGTGTTTATTAGGCAGATCTAGTTCAGTCTTTTTCACACGGAAACACACACATACACACATCTTTTTTTCTAATAAAGAATAATAGAGAGAAGACCTTAATTTAGTCTACGAGAAGACTTACCATCTGCAGGATTGGTAGCAAGAGAAATTGGGCCCACGAAGATCAATACAAACCCTAAGAACAGCAACAAGTAAATTATAGATCTCTTGACACCCATTGATCCAAAAAGTGCTATTTCTTCGGATAATTTAACCTCTGCATATCCAATTCAACCTACAAGAAGATTTAACAAACAAACGATCAGGAGTCGATTGATTTAAAGCAAATATTGAAGTAAAAAACATAGTGATTGAAGCTGAATGCTAAGCATCTTATGAGGAAATAATGGCATTGGATGACGAAATAACACAACATGCTCATGTGAGTGTTGACTAGATTTGAGTGTAGGTGAAGTAAAACACTCACAAAGAGGTAAAGATTCTTTGGGGCATTTAATCGAACACATAGCAGATGCTGCAGAGAATTAAGATTATGAAATCTAGATAGTATAAAAAAATCGATCACCTTGAAGAGGTGAAGAACAGAGGAAAGGTGAGAGAAATGTTGGAAAGTTGCAGAGATGACAGACAGAAAAAGTTTAATTCTCTCTCTACTTTCTCTCTCTGGAAAGGAAATGAATGGATGCTCGGTGATTGTGTGTGTATGGAAGTCATACATATCTGCTAATGAACAAGTTTGCTTAAAGAAAAGTGAAACTGTTATGCCCACGCGCAGTGAGAGAGCGCGTGGTAGTCTTCTCACCAATTACCAGTCGCACTTTAAGAAAATAAATTCCATTTATATCATTATATGTATGGGAGGGTGTTAATAATTCGATCTATTATGAGCTTGATGTAGATTGGCTCGAATTTAATGTCATTTTATATCACATTACTCGCATGTCTTAATCAATAAAGAACTTAATGTCTTTATGAACTCAAGAGTGTAAATATGAAAACACCTTTAAATCATTTTCTCAAGTCTCATTGATCAATATTCAATAAGTATTCCCTAAAATATAATTAACACATCATAACAACCCTAATTTCATTTCTAGTTCATGATTCCATTCCAACAAATATGATTCAAGCTCATTAATGGGACTTAGAAGCTTAAAATCATTTTAGAGTTTGTAAGCTTAATCGGTCCTTTTGTTACCTTGAAAACTCGTAGACGTTACATACATAGTTATAAAATGTTTGCTTTCATTCAAACATTTCCCAAACCATTTTAAATAAGTTTAATTCCAAAAACTTCATTATTCCATTTCAATGTTGAATCACCATTAGAATCATCAATTTCTTTTAAAAACATCTAAAGGACATATGAAATCATATCTAGAATCCAATCATTAACCAAATGACATAAATAGCTAATTTAGATCACATGGATTTGATCTCATAATCATAACTAGAAGTTAATATACAAGTATTTCGTTCTAGAGTACAACATCATCGCCAACTAAAGTTTCAGTTTGTGATTATGGTAAATCTTATCACCAAAATAGGTGGGATACGTATATATATGTAACAATGAATAACAATAATAGTACTTGAAAAATGAGATCAATACAATATATACACAAAGTATCATTTTAGTCTAACATCCCCCCTCAAGCGAAACGGTGGTTGTCCGCTTTCGCCTTCTAACACGAAAACTTCCCAGGGGGTCACTCATCCATGGATTGCTCTCGCCCAGGCACGCTTAATTATAGAGTTCTTATGAGATCTGCTGCACTCATGGCTTTAAAACGCTTTGTGTTAGGGAAGGTATCCACACCCCTGATAAGGAATGCTTAGTTCTCCTTCCCAACTGATGTGGGATCAAGTGCAACCCACCTTCACCCCCGATTATAGGTTCCGACGTCCCCGTCAAACACATTGACCCATGCCCTAGCTCAGATACTATTTGTAACATCCCCCTCTGGTACGTATCACAATATTGTCCGTTTTAGGCTCCCGAAACAAAAACTTCCTAGGGGTCACCCAACCCTGGATTGGTCTTGCCCGGGCACGCTTAATTGTAGAGTTCTTATGGGATCTGCTGCCCTCACGACTTTAAAACGTGTTGGGTTAGGGAAGGTATACACACCCTTTATAAGGAATGTTTAGTTCTCCTTCCTAGCTGATGTGGGATCAAGTGCAACCCACCTTCTGTCACACCCCCAAACCGTAACAGCGGAAACATCTGGGGGTGGATGATTTCATGTATAGTATCGTAATAAATGAATAATAGTGATCAAGCCATACAACCATCATATTGATAATTAAGTAGTATACATTGTACACAAAACATTGTTTACTTGATATTAAATACATATGTCAAAAGTAAATAATGTGACACGGCGAGCCCCATCCTCATAACCTTTTTGGTTAACTGTTTACTGACTTCCTGAGAATACAAGCGGTTTTGAAAAAGTGTCAACTATTAAGTTGGTGAGTTCATAAGAGTTTTGTATGAGAAGAATTGGTAACTTTTCCTTGTAAAAATGATAGATTGCACTTTGAGAAAATCCAATATTTTCTTTAAAAATGAGCTATGAGTCTTAATTCCAAAGACCAAAAATGTAAGTAGTACTGTACTGGAAGATAGTGTTATGAAGTTTTATCATTATATTAAACTAATTGAATGTACCTTAGCCCCGTAAACCAAATGTATTGTTAATATCTCATGTGAGTTATCATAACCATGCTAGTGACTAGTGGCCTGCTACGACGTTCTTCAGGCGTCGGAATGTTAGACATTTTTCACCCTAGACCTACCGGTCTAACTAAAGCTAACAGCTTAGGTGCAGGGTTGTCAGTCTCGTATAGATCTATACATAAGTGTCACGCTCTTTTACCGAGACTCTGGTTATAATTCAAGACTTTAGTGTGTACTCTGGTAGGTTTACATATTTTGCTATACGATTCCCAATGTTTCGACCAACATCATCGTAATGTACTTATGGTAGTAAGTAGTGGTTGGTATTTTATAAATGTTAAGTTACCAAAATAGAACATAGATGTCAAAACATTAAACTGATTCGGGTTACATTGGTTTTGGAGGGTGTACCTCGCTTGATTTACTGCTACTAGTTGTGATGAAAGATGCAATAAACCTAACACATATTGTGAGTGGTGTAGTCACTAACTCACTAGGCTATACTAGTCTATCATATACCAAAATGACGCACAAGGTTCCCTGACATCCCACACAACTCGCAAGTGGCCTCCTCCGCTCTTTGTTCCGCTACGACTGTCATAGTTTTAGCTGTAAGGATTTGTTGTCCCATGGCAACCATCTCTCCTTTAAGGAGTCTAGGTGGTCCGTAATGTTCTCTCGATCCACTTGTTGGTTCAATATGGTACCCGTATGATGTTCTTGTTCCTCGTGGATGCGTCGAATTTGCATTGTCACGTTCCGGGATTTCGCCACTGATCTCCATTACCTCGTGGTGCAAAGCCTGAACCTGAGTGTCTAAATGGTCCACTTATGGTACAATAAAGGTAGTGCTTGATCTGTGAGGGTGTTGGGGCCCAAAGCATGGTGTAGTGGGTGCATGCCGAATGTGGATTGCCAGTCGTCTTCTCTAGCCCATGCATCCAGCTGGGTTGCCCATTGTGGGGGCGCATCCTGGAATGAGAGAGGTGGAAGGGGATTATGCCTGCTCCTGATAGGGTAAGGTTCATTAACGATCTCCCTAGCGCCTTCCTCATAGTCTAACACTTCATCAAAATCCTCCTCCTCGTAATCCAACTCTTGATACTCTTCAGGCTCTTCTTCTTAATTCTCCTCATGAACCTCGTCTGGCTCCCCCTCGATCCATCCATTGGACGCCATATCAAGGTAGTAGGGGTCTTCGTGGCGAAATCTAGCCATGTCATCTGTGTGAGAATAGAGGTAAAAGAAACACATAAATAATATAGCTATATGGTTTTATGGTATCATAAAATACTCCTATAGTATTTATAACTTTGTGTTTGGTTCTAAGTTTTATTTATATGGGATGCTGGTAAGTTTTAGACTTGTTGTTCACCATGACTATTTCCCGACGTATGCTAGTCACATCTTGGATAAATATAGTTGATCAGACTATATTTATCCCATATCTGATTACATACCCCAAGGCCTAATCATAGTGTTAAACTTATCTAATACTTTTATATGGTTCTTGTTATGACACAGTCCTAGTATATATGTATATATCTATACTTTTAAATAAATATCCTTATATTTTAAAAGTATACTTTTAGTCAAAGTGTTTTAGCCCCATTGCATTTATAGTTGTATATCTTACATGGTTTGATATACTTAGTTCACTATAAACAATGCTCTGATACCAATATGTCACACCCCCAAACCAGAACGTCGGAAACGTCTTCATGTATAATATTATAACAAATGAATAATAGTGATCAAGCCATACAACCATCGTATTTATAATTAAGCAGTATACATTGTACGCAAAACATTATTTACTTGATATTAAATACATATGTCAAAAGTAAATATCGTGAAGCAGCGACACCCCATCCTCATAACCTTTTTGGTTACATGTCTACTGATTTCCTGAGAATACAAGTGGTTTTAAAAAGTGTCAACAATTAATTTGGTGAGTTCATAAAAGTTTTGTATGAGAATAATTGGTAACTTTTCCTTGTAAAAGTGATATATTGCACTTTGAGAAAATCCAATATTTTCTTTAAAAATAAGTTGTGAGTCTTAAGTCCAAAGACCAAAAATGTAAGTAGTGTTGCATTGGAAGATAGTGTTATGAAGTTTTATCTTTATATAAAACAAATTGAATGTATGTCAGCCCGGTAAACCAAATTTATTGTTAATACCCCATGTGAGTTATCATAACCATACTAGTGGCCTGCTACGACGTTCTTCAGACGTTAGAATGTTAGACATTTGTCACCCTAGACCTGTCGGTCTAACTGTAGCTAACAACTTAGGTGTGGGGTTGTCTGTCCCGTATAGATCTATACACAAGTGTCACACTCTCTTAACGAGACTTTGGTTATAAGTCAGGACTTTAGTGTGTACTCTGGTAGGTATGGTGAAGCCAAATGTCTCACAAAAATTGTATCAACCAGTTTACGTCTAGTGTAATGAAAACCCTTTTCTTCTTGTTAGTGAAAGTATTACTCTTCCATAGTGGTTACATAGTGTAAAACTAATTATACATTTAAATAATTATATGTTTCGTCCGGAATGATAAAGTAGTTGTGGTGACACCCAAACTTTACCAATTATAGTTTATTATGATTGTTTTGTTAAATCCATTTATATAATCATTTATATAAATATGTAATAGTTATCTTGTCTAGATGCTTTTAAAAGATTATATCATAAAGACTTACATCTAACAAAAGTATGATAAGTTGGTATGAGAAAGCCCATTTGTAGCTTCCCTCCCCCCCCCCCCCTGCTTTGTTTAACGATATTTACAGGTAACTAGGAAAATATAAACTTGATAAAACTTGTTTCTAATCTTTTCGGGATTTTAACTCAAAATAGCTTCATATGTTTTTAAACCATATATTTTTAGTTAAAACTCACAAAATGATGTCATAATCTTGTTATGTCCATTTTTGTTTAAAAATCCATTTTTACATAAAATGATAAATTCTTGTGTTCTTTTTTTTTTGGAAAACTAACTCCTTGATATTTTGTCAAGTTTCTAATTGTATGACCAAAACAACATATTTTGGGTTTTATCCCACAAAAATGGTATAATAACTACGTTATAACCAATTTTGATATATCTTGTCCATAAAAATCTTAGTCTTTGTAGTTTTATAAATATAACTTCTTCTTATGAACATATATCATAGTTTAAGTTTGTTTTTCTTAATTTTGTATGATTAACCAACATGACACAAATAAATGTTCTAAAAACTAGTAATAACCGTATCCCACGCATATGATGCTTTATATTCAACATAGAAATGAAACATGTAAACATTTATGTAAATATTCCAAATATTTCTTGTATCCCCCCCCCCCCTAAAACATGGAAAACTCGAAAATATGAGGGTATGAACTCACCTTGAGTGTGTTTGTGGTTGGATAAAGAGATGAAGATGGAGATCCTCAAGCTTTGAATACTTGAAGGTGGTTTGAAGAACACTTGAAGATGGTATTACCCTATCAATTTTAAGACATGATAATGTGTGTAAATGAGATGAAACTAGTATGAAAGTGTGTAGAAACACTAGATTATGAAGAAAACACTTACCAAAATGTTAAGAACACTTCGAATAACTTGCCTAATGAGGAGGAGCTTTTGTTCTTGAGAGAATATGGAGTAGTTGAAGAAAAATGGAGATGGTGGGGGGGGGGGGTTTAGGGAGTTTTCAGCCGAATTAAAGAGAGGGAGGGTGAAGTGAATAATAGCTTTGATACCTACTTAATAATATTTATTGTTGGGAATAGATGCATCAATCATGTTGCCAATATTAACTGAGATCCCATGGTGATTTCGGTCCAAGTGTCAACCGAGATCCCATGGTGATTTTGGTCCAAGTGTCAACCGAGATCCCATGATGATTTCGGTCCATGTATCAACCGAAATCATAGTGTTTTTGGTCCTAAGCCAAGAACCCTAAAAGCAAAGTATAAATCTCGATATATGTGACATCCCCATTTTTACGACCAGAAAATATCGATTTCGTTTATGCTTTTATAATAAAATCAGAGTAATCTTTCAAAGAAAAGTGTTGTGGAATTTGTTCCCAAAACAATATATGATAAAATTTTATCAAAGCATTTCTTAAAGAAATGTATTTTCATTACATTACAAAACTCGGGATGTCATCGTCAATACAGATCAAAAGGATAAACAAAACATCATAAACCAAAAAACAAAATTGGCCTCAAAACAATATAGGCCTTACAAAATACTATTTATTTTAGACTGGCCTATAAATCCATAATCTATCGTCAGATCATCCAACTATGCTTTTGCCATTACATGTAATACAAGAAACTGTGTGGGTCAGGCTGGGGAGCCTGGTGAGCATATAGGGTTTTCAACCCACAATAATAAGTTCATTATTTATTTTCATTAAATCATTAACCGGATTACCCATTCCCGTTATCCTCACTTTACGTCCCTAAAGCATCTATTCTAAGGGACCTAGCCTAAGGATTTTTCTTCAGGGTGACAACACTGCTTAGGGGATTCCTCAGCAATAACTGTCAAATAAGACAACCATGGGGGGATGGAGTACATCTGGTGAACACTTAGTTCAAAAATACCTACAGGTTGCGAGCCTGGTAGCGTTCCACTAGACTGCCTAGAATAGTCTGTGGTTTTCATCTATACTCTGCTAGATGACTAGATCATCGTAAACATCGAGACCTCTCATCATTTTATTTCATCACACACCAACTATTTCATCTACCTATTTTTTACCCAACATATTTGTAGATATAAAATGCATATACAGTTCAGATATGAAAACGAAGTTTAAATCTTTCATACATCATAGATCTCAAGTATAAATTATTAATATATAAGGGTTAGATTTGAAAAGTTTAGATCTGAAGTGAGAAGGTCTAGATCTAAAGGAAAAAGTTCAGATCTGGAAGAAAAAGTTTAGATTTGAAGGAAAAACTTTAGATCCGAAAGAAAAACTTTAGATCTGAAGGAAAAAGTTTAGATTTGAAAAGAAAGAGGTTCAAATCTTTCATCCACCATAGATCTCAAGTAAACAGACAATATATATATATATATATACACACACACACACACATAGCACGTAATTTATATAAAATACTTCATATCTATGTGTAAGATGAAAGTGACTATACGCTCACCTGATAAGGGGGTGATTCGGACAACACTTTGCTTCTTAAAATAATCTTCTTTGATGAAACCAGGAGGTTTGGTTGAAAATCGGACTCTACACGCGCAGAGTTTCAAACCGAAAAACTCTTTTTCTTGGAGCCTTCAGGTGCTCCGGAACTTACTTCTAGCACTTAGTATGTACTAGGGAATGGAAGAGAGGTTATAGGGGTAATGGGAGAGAAAGAGTATGAAAGGTGTGAGTTTTGGGGGTGATTTATGCCTCTATTTATAGGCTGTCTGGTTTGATTCATGTCGTGAAAAGGGTTCTCAAGCCGTGAGCCTTGCGTAGACTCCAATGCAAAGTCTGGTGCTGACACGTGGTGTCGGACGCAGGTAAAACAACCAATCTTTAAAAATTCATAACTTTCGTATACAAACTCCGTTTTTGACGTTCTTTATATCTACACGTAGGTAAAGACAAGATCTACAACTTTTCTTTTGACCTTGTCGGCTAATTCTCGGTTGGTTTTAAATTTAACAGTGTTAGAAGATTATACTGTTAAATGACTGCGTAAAATTCATAACTTCTACATACATACTCCGTTTTCGTCTGTCTTTTTATTGTTGAGCTCCTATTCATGAGATAT